TATTAAAATTTTGAAAATATCTAATCTTATTTATACTGAATTTCATTTGTTCAAATGTTAGCACCAATTTCAACTTCTATTCATTTTATATAAGTCAAATAATTTATGTAATTGAATAAGAAGAGCTTTGATTTCTCAAATACTCTTCAAACCTCAAAAAAGAACACAAAAAAAGAATGCTTGGATCTTTCATGTTATATTATTTTCAGAAAATTCTTCAAATATCAGTTGCTCAAAGAAAAATAATTTAGTATGTTTCTGAATAAACAAATTGCCGACCTAGCTCAGTGGTAGAGCGCGTGGCTTTTAACCACGTGGTCGTGGGTTCGATCCCCACGGTCGGCGGCGCCCGGATTGTGTATCGGCTCGCGTCTGGATCGCACCATCAATCCTTTTCAAATCTTGAAATAGTATAGTGAGCCGTCCGAATACAATGAGATTTATACTACAACATATTATTTTCATCCCAACTGGTTTATGCAAACCTTTATCTTGGGGATAGAATTGTTAACTAATTTCATGCATATATTGAAGGCTTCTCTTGTCTTGTGTAAATCTTGTTTTAGTGCTTTCAACTGGTTCTAACTCGACTGAAGATGGCCATGAATTTTATAATCTGGACATGAACATTGCTTCAGGTAACGGAGCTAGAACTCTAATCATGGTAAGGTCTAATGGCAAAAGGCACCCGTTACAGTATTGCCACTTCCTCCGAAATGGATAATTAAAGTACTGGTCTCTTAAAACCGTTCTCCGAGTGCACAGTCCATATGATCAGAGATAGTATGGACGGACCACTCCAAGTTGATGTAATATCAGCGAATTCCCGGTTTGATACGCAGTCCTTGATTACGCACAGGTCAAATCATACGAGGTAAATAAGTGCATAACCAAGTCAGCAGACTCCCCCACCTCCAGATCTGTCATCATGTGGGTGGGGGAGGAACGTTCACACGTAATTCAAGGTGCGCGTGGTACTGTGCGTCTCATGTCCCCAGTTCAGATTCTGTACCGCGCGAGGACAATGAGGAGGAACCTTTCAATGCAAGACGTTCGGATACGCGTGAGCAGGCCAAAGGCGCAGATCGTGAAGGACGACCAGAGATTTCAGTTCCACGGCGGGGATTACATGCTTGTGCGTGCTCCCAATTGGGCCATCCGATCCTCGCACAGAAAACCCGATGCCCCAATCGAGTTTTGCTCTTCTGAATCGGTAATGTGGATCAATAATCTCCCGTAGATCTAAACGGTACGAGTCTCGTGTTCCGGAGCGCAGGACGGTACAGGGTCGGAGAAAGTACTCTTACGGTATCCGATATAGGACCAATAGCACGGAGCCGTTCTCCTTCGTGGTCCACGAAGTTCGTCTAAGATAGTTGACGACAACGTAATCAACGTCGTCGGACCTCGGCTCTAGCTCCAGCACCATCCAGAAACTTACGCTATGGTGCGCGGTAGGTGCCATTATTCCTTTCCCGACACGGCTCGTGTGTCCGTGTAAGGCCTCCGTATCTTGGCGCGAACTCGGGCTCTCTTGTAGTAATGAGAACGTCTCAATCCACGCGTGTCATCCGGTGAGTGGTCGAGACGAGGGACCCTGCCAGCACCCGGACAGCGATCCCCGGTATGATGATGGTCTACTACTCGAGGCTAGCTTCTCCCCATCAGACGACCATAGATAACGTTGCCCGATGCCCGTTGCCCATGCTTCGGTTTTCCGTTTTCCATGTACTTCTACTGTATGGCTATGGCAGGGACGTACGATTCTGCACATCGGTTGTGTTGACCAAATCCGGTCTTTGTTTCTAGTTGTCTCTACATGGTGCGTAGACCAGTCTGACCAGTGCATAGGAAAATATACAGCGTAGGCTAAGGGATGGATGACAAGGACATACGTGTTTCCTTCGGCTCTCCCAGCATTTGCCGACTTGGAATTCTCCAATTCCAAGTCGGCAAAGTGGAATGGATGCTTTGTCATTCCATACATTATTCCTTGGTCCTGTGTAGGTACGCGCTCCTTAGCTGTGATAAAGAGCTTATGATACATTGCAATCAAAAAATGATATGAACACCCCATCAAGTAGTGCAAATCGGGAAACATCCTGCTCACTGGACTATTATATCCAGATTATCCCGTCATTTCATCGCGTCGCAATGTACCAGAAAAAAATGTTTCTTAAAAAATAATCTAAGAATTTTTTAAAAAAATTGATTATATAATGAAATTTTTTAATATAATTATTACTTAAATTAAAACTACAATTTTTTTAATTAATTGAAGTTTTAATAGAAATAATAAAAGATAGCTATGTAATATCATCATAAAATCTTGTCATTTGAAATTCAGTCAATTCAATGATGTAGTTTTGATATGTGTTTTCATGACTATTTTGAATTTTTCTTATATTAAAATTGTATTCCTTACAAATTTATTTCTTGATTATTGATGTTTGTTTATGCTGAGTGTCATGAAATAAAATTCGAAAACGAATTTTTTGGAAAAAAATTCTTTTGCAAACTTATAGATTGTTTTAGTGATTACACTGTTAGAAAAAAAATTTGCTTTTATTTTGACACGTTGGAACGTTCAAAAAAAATTTAACAGTGTTTTTTTATTAAGATTTTATTTTTGGGTTGATGTCAAAATGAGTTTTATAAATTTACATTTAAAAGAAGTTGAGCTAAAAAATTTATAATTCGTAATAGAGGTAATTTACAAAAAAACCGTATTTTAAAATTTATCCCCAAAAAAAATTCAAAATTTATTTTTTATTTTTTAAATGGTATGATATTCTTCAGTTACAAAGAGTTTGTATTCAGCCATCATGATTTGAAAAGCACTAGTTATGAAATTACCAATAGTGTGAATATTTTTATTTGCTTATCCTTAAATGTTAAATTTATACACAAAAATCATATCAATAAATCATCAGATTGATTTATCTTATTTGACTGAATTTTATAATTTTTTGCGATCATTATTGATAGTTATTTTTGAAAATTAAAATTCCTTTCTCTTTAGATGCACTTTTTGATCTTGTGAAAATGAAAGCACTGAATATGAAGTATGAATTGTTATGATTTGTGTTAATGTTGATGTGATGACCATATTCTAGAATAATAAATTTTTTAATTTATTTAAAAATAATAATCTTATGCATTATCAATTAAAAAAAATAACGTTACTATTGATGATAATAATTTTTATTGAATTTAATACCAAAAATAGATTGTGTGAAATAATACAAATGATTTCTTGACTATTATTCAACATAAAATTTCATGGATTGTTTCATCATGATTTGTGGATGATTACAGTATATTTGTTTCACAACGCATTAATTATATGAGATACAAAATTTCTTTGCATCAATAGGAATATATATATAAGATACATATATTTCACATCAACATGATATGTTTTATAATATCATGCTGATGTGCTTTTGAACATCTTTCAAACCTTGATGATAGCAGGAATTGAAAAATGATATCTATGCAATAATGAATAATCTTTGTTACTTTCTCTTTCTCTCTCTATATATATGTTATGAAACATAGTATTTTTCTCATTTATTCAATGATTTTTTTGAGTGGACATTAGAGCTATCATCACTGGCAAAAATAATGTAATGATTTTAACATGGTATGTATTGTAAGCATGAAACTATTAGGGTGTGATTGTGGAATCTTAATTAGATAGTTTATTTTTTTATCATATGAGAATTAATCAAGTGTTTTTATAAGTTAGAAACAACTTATTTCAAGGTAGGGAATGATTATGCTGCACTTGTGTTGATGTAGAAAATGTATGTGTTGGTTTTTTGATGTTATAAGAAGGTATGATGTGTTTGTGTGTACGAATGTTGTTAAAATTAGGTGATTGTTATTTAGCCTCGGTGAGTGTGAAATTGATGTATATTAACTTGTGCATGAGAATGAAAAATTCTAAGCAGGTTTAATTTCTATTTGTATTTTTTATTTCTTTGAACGGAATGGTATCATGCAAAATTTTAAAACATATATAGAGTATTGAGATTATAGTATATATAAAGAAAATTTATATATATTTTTGCGCTTGGGGCAATGACGCAGTTAGTGAAGTGAAACCGAAACACGGAAACAGTTGAAAAATAAGATAAATATTAAAAATTAACGGAATATGTATGTTTTTCTGACGCCATATATAAATGCTGTACAAGTAAACTTGAAAAATAATTACTTGATACAATAATACCCGTGTGATATAGCACGAAGGGTTGAAGTTACCTTTGGAAGTCGTACACGCTCATTCCGTATATAACCCACTTGACGCTAAAACAGCCGAGTCTACGACTTTCCTACATACAGTATGTGTTATATATTTATGCCATCGGCTTTTCTAAAGAATGTGGTAAACTGATTTAAGTAGCCCAAAGACCGTCGATCCCACTTATATGTGGCGTGTGCTTCCAAAACAGAACTCGCGTCAAAGGGTGCTGATCTCCAAGAGAGAGAACTATACAGTAACATGACAAAACCTGGTCGATTAGTCAGACAATCTTCGAAACCGGTACCGTACTAGCTACCGGCGATTGAGTTCCAAGCTGAACGCCGAAGTCTACACCGAAGGCTTGGCACAAAAAGATAGAGTCGATGTTGACCGTCGAGCAGATGACGTGCTTTTAGACCCAACAAACCTCGACGCAAAGCTGTAACCACAGTCAGTTCTTCAGTCAAGGCTGGCAAGGATTCGAGCGACGAATCCAAAGCCGAGATGGCGAGAAGGTACAGTGTTCCAGCGCTCAGCTGGCTGAATTGAATTGTGGACTCTGACACAAACAGACAGGTTTCCATGAAGCTTGATCGCGGCCGGGCCGCCGCTTGAAAGCGCCGCCATACGGTCCAGACAGCATTCACTCATTGCTCTCGTATACTCCTGCAACTCCGTCTACTCCCTGTACTGTCATTACTGGACATTAATTCCTCCAGCGACCGACCCCTCGCTGCTGTATCGTTCTCTTTGAATTACAGAAACATATAACGTCGAGGCAACTGGTCCTCGCTGCAGCGGAGAGAGTGAGCGAGTGAGTGAGAACGCGATTCATTCCTGTCTGGTTGCGCAGTCTTACGTCCTACGCAGGCTCGACGCTTTCGTCTCTATATTGTGTGAAGATTGCGTGTAGAAACATGGCAGCGGTGTCTCGGATTGTTGCGGCATTGGTGTTTATGCTCATGGCAGTGGCATCTGTGCACGGGACTGACGACGCGAGCGCACCAAGCTCAGCGGATACTTGCGGGCAAGTTCTCACGAGCTTGCTGCCATGCGTGCCCGCCATTGGGAAGGATGCGCAAAAGCCCACTCCGGAATGCTGCTCCGCAATCAAGGCTGTGAGTCCGACTTGCGTTTGCTATCTGATCTCTTCGAAGCCGGACATCCCAGACCCCCTCAAGGACATCAACCTCGATGCAGTCGCGAAGCTCCCGAAGGCTTGCGGTTTGAAGGCGCACTATGTGTCTCACTGAGCACCAGGGCGTCAGACGAGTCTCCTCCTGAAGGTGTGTGGCGTGGCCGTTGCCATTTCGGTCTCCTAAAATGTGTAGAGCTCGATCATACTTAGACTCAACTTCTTCTGAGGGTCGCAATGTTCTACCTTGGCCCTCTTCCTGCATTGCGGACTTGTACACGATTCTCTCAGTAATGGACGTGCAGACATCGGATATGAATCACGCTGTCTATCCTTTCTCCGTTCTCGGGTTCCTTTTAGTAAGAACAATCTTTGGTGGGATCCGCGCACCCTCTGGAACTCCCAATCACTCAGCATGTATCTGCTGTATATTCATGAGTCCTCTCCCGAGTACTTGGTCGCGAGCTCTTACTGACTACCGTCCGCAGCGAACCCTGTCTATCTCCGGGTAGTGCAGGTAATCTAGAGCCTCGAGTCTCGCATGTCACGTACACACGCCGGCGGCTTGTGGGGAGTTTCGAATGAGTAATTCCCCCTTTTTGCGTTCAATTTTCCATCCTTCCTACTGAAGAGAGTTTTCGTGTAGTCAACTTCTTTCTCATCTTCGTGAAGAATAGGTGTCACATGGGACTTGGTGAAGGACCGAGCATCAGAGCTTTGTGGTCATGCTTTATACTTTGGCTCTCAAAACTGATGGGTGGTACACCCATCACCGCGACTACAGGAGGATCTGTTATAATCGATCTCAAATCTGTTCTAATTTAGTGAAGTCATGTGTGCCAGGTTTATGAGGTTTATTTGTCATGACTGAAGTTGTACACCGTCGTGCTTGCAGGGTAAGGCTTGGCAGCGTTCTCCTCTGCGATGCAGGTTGCGTTTGGCTCAGATCTGTCATTGTTAGTAGTTTTTATCTGTTCTTCCATTATATGACTTCTGTGAGCTGTTTTAGCCCATTGTGCGCTCGTCGCAGATCTTGGTATGTCTCGAATGACTATTAGTGCGCCCACTTCGTCATACGGGCAGTATAGTCTGTCCCTGCATACTCCTGTACTTATCAAGCTAATTAACTTCTTCGCTGCGAAGATGCTTGTACCATGAAAATACCTTCCACCGCATGCCTATGCTGTCGATATTGTTCGTAACATTTGCTAAATGGCAACTATCTATACTTGAAGTGAACTTGTGATCCCAAATCATGTGTTACCGCTCACAGATAGGGTAGCTACACGCCGCGAACTTTTGTTGTCTTGAAAAGTTGCGTGTGTATTAGAGGCCAACATTTGACTTCGAATCTGTATCCAGACCAAGACCATAACCATCAGCAGCGACCTATGCTCACTCAGAGCAGTACCTGCGCCCACCAATGCCATTCATATTTCGCCTTTGTGTTGTGTATTACCCGGTTACACCAATTTTGGATGAATCTGACAAACAGTGAGTTGCATTCTTTGTGCCAACCCATGGAAATACATTATAATGCCTCTCACGGGCATGGAGAGGGTTTGGGCATGGGTACGGCTATCCAAAGTTGGACTATTCTGTTTTCCTTCCATGAAATTGTGAATCTCACTGAGATTATAAGGGTAAAATGAGAATATGAAACAGAGAATAGTATCGTAAATATATACCGTAAATATGAAAATGTCAAAATAAAGAAAAAATGTAACTGAGGTGAAAGTAGGAAAGAAAGTGGTGAAAAATAGAAAGTTAACAACGAAAAAAAATGGGAGAAAGGGAAGAGAATGATGAAAGGAAACTAAAATATAGAGAATTGAATGATAGATGAAAATAGTAAAATTTAAAATACCACGTCAATATTCCAAACTATTCAAGGAAAAAAAATATGTGCCATGCAACGTCAGTGTTCTGAAAGGAAAAAAATACACCAACATGTGTATAACCTACAACATATGTGGAAAGCATCTCAAATAGTGCTAATGGAACAAAAAAGACCGGGATATGGAACAGAATAATTCGAAAATATAGTAAAACCATGTCTGTATATTAAAGTACAAATAGTTCGGAAAATGGAGCAGAATAATTCGAATAAAGAATAGAATCATGTTTGTATATTAAAGTAAAAATAGTGCGGACAATGAACAGAATAATTCGGAAAAATCGTGGAACCATGTCTGTATGTATATGAAAGTAGTAAATTAATATGTTACAAAAAAAATCGTGTAACCATGTCTGTATGTATATAAAAGTAGTAAGTTAAATATGTTACAAAAAAACTCTCGTGAAACAAGTGAAACATGGAATTTATCTCTACTGCCGAACAGAGTAGAAATGTCAAAGTGTACCACTCAACACGAAAATTGTAATACGAAATCAGAATCAGGACAGAAAAGATAATTATTTAATATAAATTGCATGCGTGAAGAAGGTGTACAAACGGATAACTTCAACATTAAAATTGTAATACGAAATCAAAGTCTGGACAGAAAATATTGGCCAGAAGAGACAATTATTTAATACTAATTGCATGAGTGTAAAGTGTGTACAAACGAAGAAGTTCAGGCAACCTACCAAAAAAATTAAAATGAATCGCATCTCCTTGTTGACCTACAGTCGCACATGATATTTGTGTTGGCATCGGAAGAAGATAAAATTTACTAAAGGGGCTAATCTGACTGGATGTGCATACCCAAGTGATATTGTTGAAAAATGCATGTCTTAGCTCAGTCAATGATCACACTGAAAGTGTCGAGTACACTTGATCATGCCTTCAGATGGTTCTTAGTCATGCCTAATGGCTTGACCAAGCCAGTACATGTTTCTACGGCCGTAGTACATGACGATATCTTCAGGTGGGCCTATTACTGAGACGATATGGGCAGTCAAGCTAGTACAGCGGTTATTCAGCTTCACATACTTGACATCACCTAGCCAAGAAGTCAAGATCGGGTAAATTTTGTGACATTTTGAGCTAAAATGAACATGTGCTGGTGCAGGCATTCAGTACAGTTTTCAATGATTATCTACAGCTACCGGTGGATATAGAGGCAGTCTACCTACTATGCGATATCTACCATCTATCGTACACAAGCCAAGAGAAATGAATTGCAAGTGTCATGCTACATGTAACTGGTGCCTGTCATCCCTTTCGCGACCACAATGACCATGAGCTCTAACGAGTTGTTACTGATAGTATATATACCCAGGAAAGCAAGGGACTTCTTAAATTTGATTGTGTCCATTGCTAGCAGCGCATAACTGAAAGTTGAGTTACTGAGGATCTTCAGGTTGAGTAGGTGATGGATCCCAACATGAAGCTTCGTGAAGTGATTACTGCAGCCATCCTGATGGCGCTCCTGATCATTACTTCCTCGAGTGGAGTCAAGGGTAACTTCAGTAATGGATATTATAGCGAAAGCCGTGCTGCAGCTGAGGTGCAAAGAGAAGGCCATGCTGATATGCAGGCCGCTGCATGTGGTCGATCGGCAGCCGAGCTACTTCCGTGTGTCACAGCTGTCTCTGGTACAGGGAGCAAGCCATCCCCATCATGCTGCGCAGTTCTCATCAAGTGGGGATTCGGTTGCCTGTGTGACCTTCTGAACGAAAATCAAGGCCGCATTCCTGGCAACATTAACACCACCGTAGTGATTGAATTGCCCAAAGCTTGTGGCATTCAAATTTCTGGGGGCAAGAATTGTGGCGGTAATACCACAACTCTACAGTCCTATTGTTCCCGTGCCTTACTCTATATGCATAGCAGATAAAAATATCAATTACCAGGACATACAAGGGTCGAGATGGTTTCCATGTATTTTCCTATTTGGTCCTCCCATCTGGATCGTATATAGTCATAACGTAAAGTTCAATGCCCATACCATTCTGGATCTCTGTAGAAATTTAGCAGTCTATTCGGTCTGTTGCTAAGCTTGTTACTTTTATTTCTGAGGTGAATAATGGTCACCGTTGACCGTTGCTGAATTCAGATGCAGTGGATGCAGAAACGTTGTATACTATGCTCAGTTTAGACTGTAAATTTATAAGGAGATTTACTGACATCTGTCGAAAAGGAAGAAACAGAAACCCTTCCATGTGTGGGTAAGCTAATGAGAGAAAATCAACAGATTGTCTTCAATATCCTTATCACAAACTACTCTTCTGTCCCATCATGCCAATGGTCAGCAAATGGACACCCATGACCATTACCTGCTTTACAAGAGGTAATGCAAGATCGTATGTTTGACCTTGTAAATTTTATTGTGGACAGGATTATTTCCCCAGCCTCCGGCAAAGAACTCCATTGCAGCAAAGGAAGCGAATATTGCGGAATTGGTGACAGTCGATCATGAGTGAACCAGGAATTTCGGATTGTTGGAGAATCAGTGATGATGTTCCACATATTGAGCGGCATGACGATTTCAGCGTACAGGTTCCAGCATCTGCTGTAAATCCGACTCAGTGAATTCATGGGATGTAGCATATGTATACACTTATGCATGAGAACTGATGAGCTTTCATCTACTCTCAATGGTCATATTCTGGACTACACTCGACTTCTATAGATCTAGTGCTGTCTTCTGTTCACATGTAACCGCTGTCTGATAGGCAAGACTTCGGCTTTATATACCGTTCTTTACAACCACCAGCTACCTCGAGTACGCTTACTCTGCTTTGCGTAAACATATATGTAATCCAAGGGTACTGAGTCGCTGCAGGCTTCTCCTGATCTTCTGTTGCTTCTGGTGTTATGATAAATTAAGTTCTCTGTATGATCCCAATTGATGGTCTTGTTTGGATTGATATATCTAATTCGGTATTCAGCTTATAATTGAGTCTGTAATTGCACTACCTTGAGTACATTATCTACTGAAGAAGGTTAGTAATAAACGTTCAGTAGGTGCTTGCATTATTTCAATTACACCATTCAAAGAAGAAATACATTGCAGGCCATGATTGAACAAACATATCAAGAATCGAATTAAGAAAGGCAGTGATAATCCAGACAATTCAATATTTTGGTCTGAACCTCAATATTTTGTAATGAACCAGAATAACAGCTATATAAATGAATAGAGTTTGATACACAAACTTCATTCATCATACCCATGTTTTCTTAATCTCACAATGTTGACAGAACCTTCTCCTTGTTAACGTCGTGCTATGTGCATTATGCAAAAAGTATGGAGGAAAGCATAACAAGTTTTTAGTTGACATGATACATTTGACTATATCCTGCGAATGATTTAGATCATGCTTTAAGCTAACAACATAGTTTTCACTTATTCATTACCATTTCAATTAATTTGGAAACAAAGGGAAGAAAATGTTATTTCAAGGTAAAAGTTAGTTGTTTCATTTATTTATTCGATAAAATATAGAAAATATTGATCATTTAAAATTTTAAAAATCAAGTAAAACTTTTTTATCTAAATATTTAATTTTTATATAATTTTTTTTTTATGTTTGCAACTCTACATTATTTTAAAATTTACTTATTTATTGATATTTACAACTTTTATTTTTTAATGTATACAAAAAATAAATTAATATTAGGATTTTGATGAAAATTGAAAAAGAAATAAGTTGCAGCATAATATTTGTTCACTAATGCTATTCGAATATGTTTAAGATAATTTAAAATAAGATTTCAAATTTTGTTGAGAATAAATGAAAACACAACTTTTTATTGATTTGATTTAATGTGTGATGCTTATATCCTAAGCTCATTAAATTTGATGAGGTTTTTAAATGAGAAGAGGTAAACCAAACTAACTACAAATTTGTCATTCATATTTACAAAATATAATATTGAGTAAAGCAAAATTTGGTTTTAGATCAAAATTGACAAAAGCAACATGCAAATGATGATTGCATAAAGTTGACTTTATACAGTAGACTTCAGGTTTGATTATCTTGTGCTAATTTTTTTTCTTGTAAAGTCATAAAATTTTGATACTTGATTTATTGTCATATTTAGCTATTGAAACATCACAATAATCCTACAAGTTGACAATTTGATCACACACAAAAACACATGAAATAATTTAAATACTCTGATTAACATATCATGTATTATAATTAAAACATATTCATCAAAACAATATACGTTATCAATAATGGTAGTTGATCATGACAAATTCAAGATTAAGAACATGTCAAAAAAATTCTTGAGTTCAAAATGATTTCAACAAAGATTTAACCATTTTATCAAATCTACATATAGTATATAAAATAACTTAAAGAAACCTATTGTATAATTCATCAATGCAAGTTTGTGTTCAAAAGAAACTTGAACTTTCAGATTCACCATCAACACAAGATTGCATAAAGAAATCTCACCTCCAACATACATGATTCACCATCAGGTGCTAGGTACACGAAGTCATCTCAAGCTAAAGCTAAACTCAATAATATGTCACTACAAATTTTTGTTAGCTTTTTATTATGATGAGTTTTAACAATATCTGAGTTAATTTATAACATTTTAATCATAAAAAATATAAAACATATGTGAAATGAAAATGCTATATTTTAATATATTTAAAAGCTATTTTAATCATTTGACTTTCAGATCAAAATTTATAAGAAATGGGTTGAATGATATTGAGCTAAATTTTAAATTATTATAAATTTTGATAGATTGTAGATTATTATTTTTTTCAAAATATATTTACAAAGTTTAAGTAGATTAAATCCAAAACTTTGTTGAGGTTAACTTCGGTTAAGTAGTTATCTTATGTGTAGCTAATTATAGTTGAGTTTGATCGTCTACGTTGGGTATATATACCATGATGCTTCTGCGGGCAGGAGAATAAGTTTTTTACATGAAGTAAATTCTCTTGAGTGTACTACTCCGTGGAAGTAGCTCTTGAGTAGTGAACCACGTTATACGTGTGTCTCTTGTCTCAGTGTGATCTTGAGTTTTACCGTTACAATTGGTATCAAAGACGGTTCTGGTTGGTACTCTGCATTGGAGTGTTTTTTCTAATAGTAGTTTCAAATTTTTTCAATTTGAAGACTAATTGTTTTCAAATTTTTGGTTCAGAGTCTGTCGTCACTACAATTTTTATTTATTTTTCTTTCGATTTGTGTCTATTGAAAGTTTTTAAAATTCCATTGACGTTTTGTGTGAGACAACTAACCTGATTTCTAACGGGTTACATTTGTTTTGACAGTTTTTTGAAATGTTTATATCTACGGTTTTTGAACGATGATTTATTCAAAGATTTTCAGTTTTCTGACTGTCATAGTTTGTCAACAGTTTTTTGAACAATGATTTGTTGTACTATTTTCAAAAGAGTTTATGACTCGTGACGGTTTCTTGTGACGATGTTTTTGAACTAACGAGCACTCAGATTTGTCTGCGAATACGTATCGCCATACACTCTACATCGCTGACATGCTACTCACACACATAGGACATGAGAGCGTACACACTCAAATGTACCACAACTAAAATTTGACGCGTTTTTCCCTATTGGAAAACACGTCAGTCTTGATTACCCCACTGGCTACAAAACCGCCACATGTACATAAGTTGAGCCCAACTGTAACCATCTTTAGTTAGTTAGAACTAAAGTAGAGGTTACTCTAAATATTGATATAAATAATGTAGTGTGCACTAGTCATAGGTGTCACGTCAGCGATTCGCACATTTGGTAGGTACAAAGTGGATGTGTTAGTTGACAGTGCCACGTCAACAATCTGTGTGCTTGTAGGTAAGGATTGAGTGTGTTAGTTGGGAGCGTCACGTCAGCGATCCGTGTGCTTGTTATGGTTATCCGCCACGACATCCATCCACTAGGATTGGGATGGATGGTGGGGATAAGATCTTATCTCCTTGTACTTGTTGGTGAGAGCTATATAAGGGAGAGGAGAACCATTGTTGAGATCTCTCATCTTCAGAGTTTACGTTTCTATCTTCGAGTGAGCTTCTCTCTAAACCTTAATGTTGCAATGGTATTAGAGCAACCTTGCTCTTTCCTTGAGTGTGGATTACCCCTCATAGAATAGCAAGTGAGTGATGATGGAGTGCAGTTTTGAGAGTGTATTGAGCCTGGCAGAGGTCATTCATCTACATGTAGAGAGAGGTGGAAGAGGGAAATTGTGGTTTTGCAGATATGAACGAGATTGACAGGAATCCAGTACCGCACTGATCAATTCCTAATCTATTCGATACTCACCTTCGTTGCATGAAAAAACATCATTTTTGGATGTACCTTGTTGCTTGTTGGGGTGCAGATTTTATGACTAGAGTGAAGGAATCAAGAGTGTCACTGATTCTTCCAATAGTTACTTATGGAGAGACTTGGGATTGTACTATATACATTCTATACAGAATGTTTCATGGATTTGAATCGCGAACCACCAATCCCGGTTCGGTTCAGCATTTATGTAGAGATTAGAACATTATATCGACAGAAGAGTATATGGAGAGATTTTTCTTGTGAGGAATTACGGAGAGGAGTACTATAGAGCTGTGATAGAATCACGTGCACCTTTTGTGACTCCTTTGTTGAGAGGTCACATAGTGATTATACTCACTTTGTATTAGAGGGAGTGTGAGAAAGCATGGGGACATCAATCGATATGGGTGAGGTTCTCAATGCAATAATGGCGGAGATGAAGGAGTTTAGAAAAGCGATAGTAGATGGTCATACTAAGTAGCAAGTTATGGAAGATAAAATCCTCGCATTGGAGAGTGAGAAAGTAGAGAGAGATAGAGTTGGAGAGATGGAAGTTGAACCTCAAGTTCAAGCTTCTCAAGTTCAGCTAGAACCAATTTCTATTGATGCAGCAGAGGCAAATATGAGACTATCCAGTTGCTTTCTATTCTCGAAAGTTGGTGGCGGCGGAACAAAATTATCACACGACAGAATGGGATGAGTTAGCCATTGTGTTGGCAACCAAAAGTTGGAAGCATTACTTGGGTGATAAAAAGTTTGTGGTGGAGACCGATCATAAACCCTTGGTTTATTTGGAAACTCAGAAGTATCTATCCAAACAACAAATTCGATGAGCAGAGTGGTGTCAACGCTTCAACATGAAGATTGTGTACATGGAGGGAAAGAAGCAACTTGCACATGCTCTTACACGCATGCCTTGTTTGAATCATATTGCAGAAGTGAAAATTCAGGCTAAATGATGGAGCAAGATGACACAAGCCACAAAGGAGTATGAAGAGATCACTCGCGCACTACAAACTGAAAAGGCAGAGAAATCTCAAGGTTTGGCATTTTACAATCAGCGTATATGGATTCCATAAGATCACGATTTGCGCACAATGATTTTGGCAGAAAGTCATGACACATCCATTGCAGGTCATGTGGGAGTGGAGAAAACCGTGGAGAGTATACAACGAGTGTACTATTGGCCCAAAATACTTGAGGATGTGGAGTCTTATGTTCGAAGTTGTGTTGCTTGTCAACAAAATAAGGCAAGTAATAAAAAACCAGCGGGTTTATTACAGCCTCTTCCTGAACAGCGGTGGGAACATGTCACCATGGATCTTGTATGTGAGTTACCAAAGACTTCGTTAGGACATGATTCAGTGGTGATTTTTGTGGACAAATTGAGCAAGATGATTCACATCAAGCCAACCACAAAAATAGTAATAGCTCCACAACTAGATCAATTGTATCTAGATACAGTTTTTGTGAATAATGGCTTAAGCAAAGTGTTAATCATGGATAGAGGTACTCACTTCACTAGTTTATTTTGGAAAACTTTGTTTAGTTTTTTCAAAACAAAACTAGCAATGTCAACG